TCACCAATAACAATAGGTTTCCTCGCACTTCGTCCTAGGAGCCTTGGGTCCTATCACATCGTGCTCGGGCCCTAATAATAATAATTCCACCAATAACAATAGGTTTCCTCGCACTTCGTGCTAGGAAGCCGTCGGGTCCTAGCACATCCGTGCTCGGGCCCTAATAATTCCACCAATAACAATAGTTTTCCTCGCACTTCGTGCTAGGACGCCATTGGGTCCTAGCGCTCCGTGCTCGGGCCCTAATAATTCCACCAATAACAATAGGTTTCCTCGCACTTCGTGCTAGGACGCCATTGGGTCCTAGCACATCGTGCTCGGGCCCTAATTATAATAATTATTTATATTACTGTCGCCTACTATTACATGTTAATAAAATATAAAGTTAACTATCGAAGAAATCACATAAACTCAAGCATGAAGAAGAGACCATGTTGTAAGAAAACACTTAACAGATAAACTACAATTTTATTTATCATGAAAATAATAAAAGAAAAGTATCGAAAAAGAATCGGAATCGCAATTCTTGACTTGGTATCGGTATTGAAACCAAAATGTTGGTATCGTGACAACACTACAAAATGGATTTATTCCCTGTGGATTAACAAAGAAAAACCTGAGTAAAGTTGATTTCAGAAACATGAATTTATGTATACACGGTTCCACAATATAGATGATTAGAATGGACATCATTATCCCACAAAGTCTTGAAGATGGTTCTCCTTTGGGATCAAAGTCAGTGTTGCAGTCTTAATGCAAGGCTTATCATAAAACAATTTTTTGTACAGAAAAACAGTTCATCCAGCTATCTGCAAAAGTTTTTGTTGCATTTTGCAAAATGTTAGATTTTCCTTCCCTATGGTCCGTTGGCCTTGTACTGCGAGGCGCTGCTAAGCTGCTGATCCCGAGAGATGTTGATCCTCCTCACGTTCAGCTCGGCAGCACACGCTCTGGCCTTCTGGTAGAAGAAAAGCGAGAGCTCCCGGTCGGTTAGGAAGTTGTGGTAGATGGTGGCCAGGCGGGTGCACAGCTGCAGCTGGGACCGCTTGTTGCCCAGATCCATGGCTGCAGCCAGGGCCAGGTGATAGTAGCCTGCAGCGTCATGAGGGTCCTGTGGAGAGAACAGCAAAGTGTAGGGTGGTAACAGCCCTTCATGAGTCATTTAGTGACAATGGTCTTTGTATTTCATAAAGAATGCTTGGGACTTGGGATGCCCCATTGCTGCCCCATTTTTGGCAGATTTTCTTAATTTCACTGGACATGACTGTGGTGGCAATGTGGTGACACACTGTATACTTTTTTTGTAGCTTTCGGTCACACAGCATATCAAGGAAGCATATGAAGAAGAAGAAACCTGAGATTTACAGATAAAGGAAACACAATGGCATCCACATTTGCTTTTTGCTTCCTTATCCTCCTGAAACCCAAGCTTTTTTTTAGTATGCACTTTTTAATTTCTCCTATCTATTTGGGATAAGTAGGACCTAATAAGTATACAACCTAAGTATTGTCTTTGAACAGGAAGTCGTTTTTGAAAAAAATATGTCCTCATATGTTGAAAGTCGGTTTATTTTACGAATTTATGTCTGAAAATATGTTATAACTCTGAACAACACCCAAGTGACTCTTGAGTGTATTGGAGACCAGCTTGGAAACTGACAATAAAATAGTCCTGGTTAGTACAGGGCCTCAGGTCTGATCTCAGGAAGTAAACTAGGTGAGTAAGTAAATGACCCTCTTTGAATCCCAATCACATCCTTTGTCATTACCAACTCGTCACATATGGATGCTTGGACATGACGCATCTTGTAGACCTGTACTATCCTCAAACTATGATGCTGCACGTTGGTGGCAGTAAACATGTGGTTTAGGGTTAGGGTTGGTTATTATGACTTCTAATCAAAAGTCAAAAATACCACATTTCGCATGTTGGCAGGGATATCATTTTGAAAAAATGTATCTGTAATCTCTTACCTTGAGGTCATAGAATATGATGTCCCCCAGTGTCTGGTACACCCGGGCGTAGTACAGTGTTTCTTCATCGAACATCAGAGGGGTTGTACAGAGGGTCAGGGTCTTCAGGTAATAGTGTTCAGCCAGCTCAAACTGTTCCAGACGGTGGAAGAGGGAGGCCAGGCGGTGGTGAGCCACTCGCTCATTCAGACTTTCACCTTTATGTAGAACCAAAGGTAGACTTAATCATTCAGATATAGCACATGGCTTTGAACTGCCACAGTATTTGTAAGTTCAATTTTGTATCAGTTAAGTAGTTCCGATATCAAATAACTACTTGCCAACTAGAATACCATAAGAATTTGTGGTTGCCTAATGTAATTATTTCACACAAATCTAATCCAATGAGCATTACATTTGCTGATAGCATTCATGGTCCCCAGACGATGGATCACTTATGTATGTATGAATGCTGCGTGTCTTTGATGTATGTTGTCTATTCTGAATGTTTTGATGGCACCTTAACCCTCCTATCGTCTTCGTTTTCCCCCCCTTACTTTGGTGTTCGCAGTCAAATTTGACCGGTTCTGTTTTAACTCATATTATATTAACACAAAAAACATTAATCATCACCAAATGTAATTTAAAACCCTTTCCAACTGTAAATATTGTATCAGACTACTGGTATTAGGGTTGCAAAGGGGCGGACATTTTCCATGGGAAGTTAATCTGGGGAAATGGAAATGGAAATATTCGATCCAAAATTAAACAAAAAAACATGACATTTCAAAATATATATTTTTTTTTAAGTAGAACAGAACAAGTTTCAATTATTTTATTGAACAATTATTTGTTTCATTGAAGAACGAAAACAGGAATGTTGAGTTAAATGTTACTCATCCACCCAAACCCCACTCATTAAAAAATGAACAAAAATGCACCTCCCATCCAAAAATCCCCACAAAGTCCCATTCAAAATGTTAAATGAAAAGAGCCCTTCTCCCTCCAAAAAGTCCCATTAAACATGCAAATCTTCCTTCGAGCAATCCTCTGCATTTTTTACCCTTTCAGTCAACGGGCTCTTCCTGGGCCTCATCAACATCCAACTCTGAGTCTTCCTCTTCAGTGTCACTGTCCAGCCTTGTTGAGGATGGCTCTGTGTCAGGCTTAAAGAGCCTTAGGTTTGCCCGAATGCCAACCAGTTTTTCCACTCTCACATTTGTGAGCCTGTTGCGAACCTTTGTGTGGTCTCAATAGCCATGCAGTAAGCAGTGTGCTATGGCATGGATATTCAAGTACTTGAAAAGCATCCGTTTGTTTTAGTCAAGATTATGCTCAAATATACTTTCCCCAACTATATTTAAGTTCCCTATGAAGAGCCAACCTTCAATTTTGAAAATTCCCAGTTTATTCCCATAAATTCCCGTGGAAAGTTTTCATCTTGCATTTCTCCATAACGATGTTGTTTAACAACCGGCGTAAACGGACCTTCGCGCGCTATCAAGCAGTGAGCGTGCGATGTCCTGTTCAGATGACGTC